CTTGAGAAGTACAGTAAAATCAAAGATAGCCGTAATTTTCACAACAACGCAACTTCTTATGGAAAGTATGCATTGTTTCTTTGTAGGTACATAAAGGGCTATCTGTGAGCTGGCCACCACCAGTATCAAAACCCAGTTTCTAGTGTTGTAGTCCACAGACATACCGCTCTGCCACTGGGGGGAAGGAAAGTATGCAAAGAAAAACTGATCAGGAAATTCTTTATTTGCCTTCACCGTAAACCTTCTGTTTTCAATTCTTAATGTCTTCGTTTTCGAGAAAAAAATCAATCGAGCCGTATTAAGTGAACAAACAATGGGATTAACATTAAAAAAGTAATGTTAATTTATACAAGTAAAACTGTAATTACATCCCAACAAACTTATTTTCATAGACATACTATAGATACTTGTTTTCATGGCAACTCTCTCTCTAAATTTGCCAAAAATAAAAGGTAAAAAATATAAGTACGTAATTTGTTAGTCATAGATCTTAAAATCTACAAAAAACACTAACGGAAATCCTTTTTTGGGCAGTTTATTTAAGAAGTTATACTTGAATATTACACACATTCACAAAGGCATCAACGAAATTAACGATTCTTTTACACATCGTTTCCAGAACATCGAAGTAAAACATTTAAAACCATGAAACGTCATTAGGAACCTTCTCCTTTTTCAATTTTGAAATGAGAAATTCAGTTCTATCATAGTTTCAAATACTTTTGAACAGATATTACTTTGAAGATTAACCCATTTGCTAATCTTAACAGCATACAAGTTGTTAGTTATTTCAATGATTAATGGTCACATTATAAAGTAAGATGTGCTATTTCTAAGTTATCTATATTAGTTAATCCAAAGATTCTATTAAAACAGATCTTCCTAGCAAACATTAATCAAATATGCCATGTTAAGCTGGTAATTGGCAAAACTTACTGTAAAAAAAAATGGCAAACGATTACTGCAGGGATTTTTTTCCTCGTTTTTCTTTGCGTGTATATAATTCAGAAAAAGTGTGCTCGCTAACTGTAGGAATAGCATACACACACACACACACACATACATGCATACATATATATGCTAAACGTCACCAACAATGTTTCCAGGATTGAAATTTTGCATAAGAACAAAATAAAAAAATATTTTCAAAAACTTCTGACGTAGATGTTTGGAAAGTCTAAATCACATATGAATATAGATTATTGTTGAAAATAAGATTTCGAATAAACTCCTAGTTTTACTATGTATATGGTTTAAGAAATACGCGGTAAAACGCTGAGTTGATTCAAAAAATCATTTTACTCATAAAAAATGAAAACATTTCATCAAGCTCGTGTTGTCTTAGAAGTGTTGATAGAAACAATTATCGTCAAAAACAATAGATTTAGGTTCTGATAGAATGTTGTTGTTTTATCTAGTAGTCTACAGTTATTGTCTTATTATCCAGAAGAGTTCTATCTAATAACACAGGCATGCGATGGTTTTATTGTCTTGAAATTTGTACATGTTCTACAGTAATTCCTGTACGCTGAATCCGAAAATGATATCAATATTTCTTCATCACGTACAGGTTTTTCACAAAACGTGATATGTACTTTTACACAAGTGAATCATCTTCATTGAAATTGGGTCACATTTTGTTATGTTTAAAATGTTGACAACCACTGACTGTAGATTTATCTAAACCAATCGCGACGTGAGATTCTTATCGATCGTTCTAGAACCCACGAGAAATATTCCGCTAGTATATAAACGGTTAACAGGCCGTATGACGTGCTATTTCTGGATAGTATTTGTTTGTGCGTGCACTTTGACATTATTTTTTTATTTTCAATATTACTTATACGTTGCTATGGCAACAAGAGGTTGTGTAAATGACCCAGGGCAAATCATGGGCTCCGCATAAAGTTTGCACCGTTTGCATCAAGAGTTGAGACAATGGACTGAAGGTAAGAAAAAATCTTTGTCTTTTGGAATTACAATGGTCTGGCGTGATCCTAGAAACCATGGAGATGGCTGTTATTTTTGCTCACGTAACGTGCAAGGCCACAACACTCGAAATAAAAAGGAAATTTTTCATCCGAACCTTCAATCTGTTATAAGACCTGTTAATCATAGACCTGATGTACATGTACCTACTCCACCGGAGATTCTTGATACAGTTTCATCTGATTCTGAATCTGATGTCAATAGAAATTATGATAGGGATTGTTTTCAACCTGAAACGTCTGGAAAGGTTTCATCAAGACATCAGGGAAATGGAGAGGAGGTATCAAGGAGGGTGGAACATCAGCATGATGGCTGATTACCGCTGGTCATTGAAACGAGATGCTCCAGACACAATACATAAAATAAAGACCACAACACGCAGTTTTCAGAGTAAAAGACGTAGATTTCACACACACACACAAATCAGGATAAATGAGGATGCATATTCGTTTACATAAATTTTCTTCGCTTTTCTTCAGTTTGTTTATATTTTTGTTCAATAACATAATGATAAAAAATATTCATTGTGGTAAACGAAATAATGTTTTGATCTAAGTACGTATTTTTCTCCAAAATTTGTAAAAAAAACCTTACATGATAGAAAAATATGAATATTATTTTCGAAATCTGCGTAGCTGAATTATGAAAAATCCATTATTAAAATCAAAACAATTTTTATGAAGTTTAAATTCGCAGGCCTGTGTAATACATTTTTATGAACAGTTTGAAATATTATTTCTCATAACTAATTTATGACGCATTAAAAATGTTTTTAAACAAGTTGGAATATTTTGATATTGACCCAGTGTTTTGTAAAATAAAAACGAAAAAGGTTTTAGATGTATTACTAATAAAAATAAAGCCGTAAGAGAATAAGAGACTGAATGAAAATTTAAAGCCTTGTGTCAATTTAAAGCTTCAATAATAACGCTTTTTTATATTCATTTCATACCGCCAAAGACTTTTATTAATTAGCGCCATCTAACAATAAAACATAACTTTTCATCACTGTGATATTAACACTATGAAAAACTAAATGGTGTTCAACATGCTAAAAGTTACTTTGGTTGTAAGGAATTTGACAATATAATATTTACCTTTATTTATTAAATACGCTCGTTCCACTGATCTTAAATATTATAAATAATATTGTCTTGTTTACCTATTATGATTACAAAATAAAAGGGTTTTATACCAAAAATAGTAATTTTAATCTTTCGTTTTTCGACCATTTGACAATATTTCTATTTTAAAAAATATTAAATATATATATATTTTTTTCAATCATTGTTTCTATACGCTATAACCGAGATCACGTTTCACGTAACAAGGAAAGCAGTTATCTACATCATACATTTAGGATACGATCAGATCGTTTTTTTTTTGAAGTTAAGCACAAAGTTACCCTGTTTCTAGTGTTGTAAATTCGCAGATGTACCGCTGTGCCACTGGGGGGGGGGGGGGCTGATTAGTCTATTTGTTTGTTGGATTTAGCGCAAAGCTACATGAGGGATATCTGTGCCAGGTTTTGAAATTATAGACTAGAGAGAATTCAGCTTGTCGACAGTACCTATCGTAAAGTCTTAACTAGCTACTCTTATCATTCCCAATAGTGGAATTTGACAATCACTCTTATGATTTACTCATTGGACCCAAAATTCAGAACGTGCGTCTTTCACTTCTTTGTTGGCGATAACGGCAAGCTAACCACTCGGCCCTTCATGGTATACATTTTAACTTCTCACCCCCGATGACTTGAAATATCTATACATCAATATCTTTTATAAACAACTTTTGCCCATTTACTTGATAGTTTTTGACACGTTATTCAACAAAAGGAGACTTAAAATTGGCCAGGACATACTAGTTCGTCAGTGCCTTTTCCTCTTCTCATTTCCTAACACATATATCAACACATTATCGTAACACTTAAACTTAAGTATTGACAGAAACACTTTTAGAAACCAGCTCTTTGTAAACAAATATTACCAATCGTTGGTATGTCTAATCCAGTTTTCAACAAATAAGAGAAAGCCGATAAATTCTTGCTGTAACCCTAAAAACGTCCTTTTTATATATTATAATCACTAAAACGTCTTGAAATGCGGTTACTCACTTCCTCTATTTACAATGTCGTTTCAACTTAGTTCAACTAATGAGATAGAACCGGCCTAGTGGTTAGGGTACTAGACTCTGAATATGAGGAGTTTGCACTGAAAAAACAAATAAATCGCCCTCCGCACTTTGGGACTGTGGGTGCGTAATAAGAATGACAGTTTAATCCCATTATTCGATTATAGTACTTCAAGAATTGGCTGTGAGTGTTACTGACCAGCTATATTTCTTTTAGTCTATAACGTCTAAAGAAGGAACGACTAGCGCAAATAGCATTTGTGTGGGTTTGAGTGTCTAACTCAAACAAAAATACTTTTCTGAATGTTTAATACAATTAAATATTGTAAGCTGAACATTTTTTTCATACATATGTTTATTTCCGTTGACTCAGAACATTTGAAACGTCTCAGGTTAATTAATTTGTACTTCTGTTGTATTAAGACGTGAAACATTACATGCCATTATTTAAAATGTTTTGCTTCTTATAATATTGAACCTTTCTTAAACATCTTTTCTGCATGAGCTGAGGAGGGTAATTGTGCGAACTTAAACACTCATTTATCGATTTTTTTCCAATACTTGGAATGTAAATACAGCACATTTGCTCAAAATAAAGAGCATGACCTTAGTATTAAAAAAAACAACTGTTAGCGTTAAAATTAATGAAGTGATACTGCTCGGACATTGCAGTATTTTTTTTTTCAGAAGAACCTGTTAAACAATCTCATTCACCGGGTGTCGTGCATTTATTCAAACCAAAGGAAATACTTTTTTCTTCGGGGATATAACAAACCATTTCATGAGAAATAATAAAAAATATGTCTAACTTTTGAAACACCCTGAACATTGGATTCGAATTTTCTGATATTTCTTTCTCTTCTATATAGCTTGTTAATAATTCATGCATTTTCCATTCTGATCATGAATATGTACCATCAAAAGATCAAGGAACTTTAGAACATACTTTTTATAGAAATATCTCTTCCTCAACAATACTCATACGTGAAACCTGACAGTTACTGTCATACATATTACTCAACAATACTCATACGTGAAACCTGAGAGTTACTGTCATACATATTACTCAACAATACTCATACGTGAAACCTGAGAGTTACTGTCATACATATTACTCAACAATACTCATACGTGAAACCTGACAGTTACTGTCATACATATTACTCAACAATACTCATACGTGAAACCTGACAGTATCATACATATTCTGGAGGACAATTTACAAAACACTTTTTTTTTAACTTCTAATCTCAAACACATACACAACTATAAAGAACAAATATATGCGTTCATAATAGGGTGACAGGAAATTATCTTCAATTGATTACTGATATTATAATACACATAGATATAGGTTTGGCACTTTTAGTCTCCAAGTACAGGGTACACAATCACACAATACGTGTACATAAATAGAAATTTTCCCAGTAAAATATTTCGAGAGAAGTGAAGTAATTAAAAGTAATATTTTTTAAATCACGGAAAAGTTTAATATTTTGAAGAGTTTATCTGGCTACTACTGCCAAACGTTAGAACTATAAGGATCCTGTTGGGTCTCTTGTTGTTTTTGAAGAGTCAGTACGTTGAAGATCTTTCAAGATCACTGGTTATTTAGGCAAAATAATTTCTGTCTTTATATCAGTTTACTTCAGCTGTTTTCCTGAACTCTAGAAAAGATGTTCTGTACTTTGGCAAAACTACTACTCATAACACTTGAAGTGCTAGATGCAGAAGATGACATAGAACACCAACCCACACGGCCAGAGGCTAAAAAAGACTCCATTTCAGTGGTGTTACTTAATACCATCAGAGTACTCGTATTAAGTGATGAGCGTCTGGGCATGCGTGATCGTGCGTACTGCGATGGTTTGATGGTGTTAGTATAAGGACAGACTTCAATAATTGGATCGTTGGTCCATAACTTCTGTTTAATAAAATAATATTTTTAATGAGAAATAGGAATGCATGAATGTAAACATACATATAACCTAAAATGTCAATTGTGTTTGATATTTACTGTTAAAGTAACTGTCAAAAAATGATCAGTGTGAAGCGTACTGATTAGCGTGCCAGACTCTAAAGCCGTTAGCCCACGGCTTGCGTCCCGTAGCCGCAAAACTGCACATTGGGGCATTATGTGTGTTATAAGAATAACGATTAAAATAGCCCAAATGTTGGCGGTAGATGCTGTTGACCAACTGCCTTTCCTCTAGTGTATAAGGAATTATTAGCACACATAGCCCTTGTGTATCTTTGAATGAAGATTCAAAGAAATTAAATTTACAAAAGTGCAGTTTTTCTGCAGCTGTGAAAGCTTAGTTTCTTTGGCGCGAATACAAGTCTTTCTGCCCAACTATATCACCGTTAATATTTGTCAGTCAGTAAAAAAAAACTACAGTTTCATTCCGTATTACTATTAATGTTTGTAAGTCAGTAAAAAAGACTACAGCCTGATTCCGTATTACTGTTAATGTTTGTCAGTCAGTAAAAAAAAACTACAGTTTCATTCCGTATTACTATTAATGTTTGTAAGTCAGTAAAAA